TTCTTATAGATATTTTTACGTAGCTTTCAGTGGCATAGTCAGTTTTTCCCTAAAAGTGATATTTCTCAAATTATGAACCAAACATACGTTTTTTTCAAATTAGACACCCGATATATTATAAACTTATTGGATAGCTCTGCTTTTGCTGATTTCAATGATATAAAATTCGATAGGTTTATCTCTATCAGTTTTCGAGCAAAAAATATTTTTCTGTTTTTGTCATAAGAAATAATGTGTTAGAAAGAGACCTTTTTCATTTTTCTTACAAATGCAAAGTCCTTTTCTGATACACTGTTTATTATGACAAAAACAAACATGATCAGTGGCGCACCCGGAAAATATGTTAGTAGGGCCCTACATATGTTGTTACTTGTGACTAAAAATCTAAAAAAAATATTTAGGTGTCAGGGTGCCACGCCTTGATGTTGGTACATTTTATATACGTAAAAATACACTTTGAAAGGGTTGGCCTGGGGGTTGGGCCTGGCCCGATAGCCCCCTCCTGGGTACGCCACTGGACTTGATAGAGATAAACCCATCGAGCTATATATCATTGAAATCAGCAAAAGCAGCGCTTTCTAATGAGCTATTATTATACAGGGTGTCTCACATGAAAAAACGCATGTTTGATTCATAATTTAAAAACTATCACTTCTAGAGAAAAACTGACAACGTCATTGGAAGCTGCGTAAAAATATCTATAAGAAACCGTTTCCACCTTTTTGATCACCTATGAGAGAACCGAGATACAAGGGATGTCCCAAAATGCAACTTTTTCAAAAACACCTTGTATCTAAAAAACAAAAAGAGCGATGACATTTCTATTGGCGCCATCTTTCGTTTGACAGAAAAGTAGCCAACGTTCGCGGAAACTGTATCCTTCTAACTCCAATAGCAACCGAGTTATCCCTTATAAACAACTAAAATGGGACACACTGTACATACAGGAATCTGTTTTTTTTTTTTAAATTGACAGTTTGACACTGAAATTAAACCAATAGAAACCTGTTACGTTATGACAATATCCTTGCGTCATGACGTCATTTTCCTTATTGACCTACGTTTTTTTTTCATTATTTTCATTATTAACCTAGGGAGAGAAATTCAATTTTTTCTCAGAAAAATTGATGGAATAATGACTACTTCTCAGGTTAGTGGTAAAAAAACTACTTTACGCACTGGTGCGTGACATTTTATGTCTTCTAAAAGGTGCGTAACGTAAGTACTTTACGCGCAATAGTGGAAAAAAAACAATTATTGCGTTTTTGAAAAAAAAAAGTTCAATAATGTCTTAAGTTCAATGACCCACCCTGTATACCTATTGTATATCGTGTGCTAGAAACTTAAAATTACCAATTTTTCATTGAATATGAAAATTTTGCGACTAAATAAAAGAAAAAACCAAGTCTGTTTTTTTTTAAAGATAATTCTCCAAGTAACTATGTTGGCAACACAAGCCTTCTCTACATAAAAAAATTGAAAGCATCGACAATTTAACATTGTTTTGCCAACATAATGTCATCTTGACTTTTAGCTTTAAAAAAAAAAACAGACTTTGAAAATTCCGCTATTTCCGCTTCTACCTTTTGCGAATGAAAATAGAAAATTTCCTCAAAAAGGGATAATTCCGTCAAGCTGGCAACACTGTGGCTGACTCGTTATCAACGTACAGTGCATCAAACGCAAGGATATCAACAAAGCATTTGATAGGTTGGATATAGGCCCCGCCCCTTTCCAATCAGATGCGATAGTGATATCAGCAGAGCATTCAATTGGTTAGTTGAGCCCCGCCCCTTTCCGGGGGTTATGTATCGTCAAGGTATTTGATTGGTTGTTTCCTTTTCATCCCCTTCCAATGGCCCCGGCCAACCTACAGTGACTTAACCTTTTCAAATAGAAATTCGGTACCGCCGCCATATTCTTGCAAATTTTGAATATGAATACAGGGTGTCTCACGGTGGATAGCGTATTAGACGTTTATGGAGAACTAAAAAGCGGATAATTTTGAAAATTTGGCAACCGGGATAAACGACCATGATCTACACTTTAAAATTATTTTTGTTTATGCGGTGTTGCCGCTTCTACTCTAAACCAGTGGCAACAGCGCTATTTTAAATGGAACACCCTGTGTGTGATTACATATTTCGATTCTACGTAAAATTCTGAGCAGATTTTAGGTGATATACCCTATACCTAAGTTCAACTGTTTTGGAAATATTGACAGTTGAAAATTGACTTTTTGCAACTTTGACAGGCTGTAAAACCTAAAAGGTTAATTTTAGAGAAAAACCTATTTCACATTCCTATCTTAAATTTTTATAAACTATCATTTGACACCAACCAAATTTAATCCATGATTAAAAATTCCAATTAAATTTAATCTTCGGTTAAATTCAAAGTTGGTGTCAAATGAGAGTTCATGAATATCTAAGATAGGAATGTAAAATTAGTTTTTCTCTAAAATTACCCGTTCAGGTTTTACAGCCTGTCAAAGTTGCAAAAAGTCAATTTTCAAATGGTAATATTTCCAAAACAGTTGAACCTAGGTATAGGGTATATCACATGAAATCTGCTCAGAATTTTACGTAGAATCGAAATATGTAATCACACACAGGGTGTTCCATTTAAAATAGCGCTGTTGCCACTGGTTTAGAGTAGAAGCGGCAATACCGCGTGATATGATTTTTTTTTTTTTTTCTTGTATGTTGTTTTTAAAAAGCGGCAAGACACGCCGGGACCCTTCAAGACCAGCTCTTGTGCGCGGCACGAGTGGCACGACTTGCACGCCCTGTTGCTACGTCCCTGCTATTCATTTTGTTTTCAGTGCGATACGATAAAATGGGAAATAAAATAATACCAATAATAAACCACAAGTGCGAATTTAATGCAATATATATTAAACCTGGAACGTCCTTTATTTGATTTGTATTTGTTTTCAGGTTAGTCATGGTTTACGACGTTTAGTAAACGTTCAAATCTGGTTGTGTATGCTGACGTATATATAAGTTGAAAATTGGTAAAGTCTCGCGACCTGCGACATAAAGTTGACAAACTATCGAAATAAAACTATTGATAGTGATATCAATAGAATGGCTTACCTATCGATTGTACTATCGATAATAATTTGCTCTGACCAAAGTAACCAACTTTGTAATCCTAAAAATTGGCAGCACAGCATGTCCTATGATTTTGGTGAAAATAAAGGTTATATAGTCGTCTATTTGACGTCGCGCCTTAGTGTCAAGTGACATTTTGTGATTTGTGATACGGCATGGTGTAAATAGTTCTCGATGTCCCCCCATCGAAAGTGAGGTTATGGGTTTAATGTCATTTATTGCCTCATTATCTTCGAACGGAAAGAAATTTTTGACAATTGAAATTTTTTTTGTATCTTTGAATCACTATATCTTGGTTACTATTGCGTTAAAATACTTTTCACACGCTAAAATAAAAATGACACTTCTACCGAATTTTTGTTTTTCAAGTATCTCTGAGTGCATTCAACTTACGTACCAAAATGGTTCGTTGATTATAACCCCAAATAATACATTTTTAAAAAAAAAAAATTAAATAAATCTCAATGTGAATATAGTTATTTCGCAGTCGTAAAAAAAGTATAGTGTGTCACGCGTGTGAAAAGCACTTTTCACACTTGTGCGGTTTATGCCTAAAAAAAACTAACCCAAACTTCCCCACGCGTGTGAAAAGTGCTATTTTCAACACTTGTTGCACAATATACCATTCCGAGTATATTACATACATAATTTTTTCGGCCGAAAAGAACATACTTTCCTGACTAGGCCGGAAAGTAATCCCTTTTGGCCTAAGTAATCACTTCCCAGACTGGGGTGAAAAAGACATACTTTCTTAAGTAAAACGTGTTCGGAAAGTATGTAGATACTTTCAAAACGGTTGCCGAAAAACCATATTTTAGGTTCTTGTTACATAGCTACCTATCGTCAGTTAACTCTGGCGCCTGGCCTTGTTAACAATAAAATACGTGAAACCAACGTAACATAACTTGACGTTAGGGGACCTCGGTGCAAGATTAGATTACAGTGACTTCAAAATAGCTATTTACGCAACAAGTGTGTAAGGTGAACCCTTACACGAATGTGAATTTTGACAATCACATGAGTGAAAAAAGGGACTTTACGCACGATGGATGAGGCGCGTGGCTTGTCTTTGGGCTGTTCTTTAGTGGACTGGTTCTTCCAGTCGCTGTGTCATGGAGCTTCATACTTTGTTCCTTTCCGGAAGTAGACGGCGCTGATAGGCGGTTGCTTAATTGGTTGCTAAGTTGGTTGCCTATACGTATATAACACAGACAAATACTTTACGCGCTAGTGCATGATGTATTTTCACTTTACGCACTAGTGCTTGAAGTAATTTACCAGAAAAATACTAAATTGACAGTGTTGACATCTATCATTGAGTATTGACATTATTTTACGCACTAGTATGTGAAGTGAAATTTTACTTCTTCCGAATAGTGCGTAAAGTGAGTAGTAGAAAATAGTTATTTATGCAACAAGTGTGTAAAGTGAACCTTTTTTCACGAATGTGAATTTTGACAATCACATGAGTGAAAAAAGGTGCTTTACTACCAATCAAATATGTGTAAAAAAATAAATTTGGACAAATACTTTACGCACTAGTGTGTGAAGAATTTTCACTTTACGCACTAGTTTGTGAAGTAATTTACCAGAAAAATGCCAAATTGACAGTGTCGACATCTGTCATTGACATTACTTTACGCACTAGTGTGTGAAGTGAATTACTTTACGCACTAAAGCGTGAAGTGAAATTTTACATCTTCTATACTTTACGCATGGTAGTAGAAAAAATTATTATTATTGTTTTCATGACAAAATTATGATTGCTTTGCAAGCAAAAATATATATCCTCAACTTACCAATAAAACGTCTAGAAAATGATGAATTCTCTTCCAAATGGGAATTATTATACCAAAGGATAGGAATATAATAATCAATAAAAACAACAATTAAAATATTTTTATTTCGATAAATAAAATAACATAATGTGTGATATTAGAGAACGGATTATTAACTGTTTGGCGCAAAAATAAACCATAATGTTTTTAAACTAAAGTTAAATTCAATAATTGTAAAAAATAAAAGTTCATTAAATTATTTTTTGGTATGTTTCGACATATTGTTACTTTTTTTTAAATTAAATTATAATAATCATTATTATCGCATTTACAATATTTACAATTGGTTTATTTGCCTTCATGCTTTTAAAATTGATATTGATTTATTTCAAAGGAAAAATCACTTAATTTAACTATTTTTTTGTTTTGTTTGAAGCTGGTATTTTGCAATGAAAGTATTGATGGTGGAAAAAAAAAAAAAAATGTTTCAATATCTGGAAAATAAATAAATGTATCTACATATCACTCTATTTACAATTTACCCTATTTTAAACAATAGAAATTACAAATAAGAGCAAATTTGATTGGTTTTTTTTTAAATGATCTTTGAGCTGCCCAATCAAAATCACTAACATTTTCAATCTTTATGCAAGTTTTTATTTACAAAGTTTTGAGCTTGAAAGGGGTGCAAATAAATAAGTCAACACTGACAATTTTTTTGTATCATTCCACTAGATAAATAGGAATTATTTTCAGCTTATTGAATGCACCCCTATAAGCACAAATTTAAAACTTATTAAAGTTTTTTAGTATGTAAATGGAACATTGAAATGTTTAGAAGGCCTGACTTTGTAAAAAAAGACAGAAAAATTTCAGTATAAAACAACACAAAATCAACCTGTAAAAATTAAATTGAAACACAATATACATATTTTAATGTTTTTTTTTTCCGGAAAATCAGTGAGGGAAAAATTAGGAAACTTCCTTCCACATCAGAGAGAACATTATACTGAAATTTCAACGTTTTCTAATGAAAAATCACAACATAGAAATTCAACTCATAAGTACATCTTCGCATATTTTAAGGTTTTTCTGAAAAAGTAGTGAATAAAAATTTGTGAAAAGAAGAACATTAGAATTAGGAGCTTATCATACTAAAGATATCATTGCTCTAGCAGAGCCCCTACAAGTGGAAGATTTTTTTTTTCTCCCTAATGTCAGTAAAAGTATCGTAACTTTTTTTAAATTCTCAGTACAGGTTCAAATTTGGGGATACATTTGGATTGGTTGTTTTTTGAAAAAAGAGACCAGAAAACTATACATTTTACATGTTCCACTTACAACTATGTAAATTCTAATTTATTACAAATTTAAATATGTACTTATTAAAGGGTCATTCACATCCATTTAACTTAACGTACAGAAAATTAAAAATAAAGAAAAGTTGAAGCTTATGTATGTAATTATATGTAGTTGCTTACATCCACTTAAAAATTAACGCACGAAAAAGTTAAACCAATTTCAACTTGAGGAAATCCGTACTTTAATTACAATAATAATTATGAATGATGGACAAATTGAATTAGTCTGTGATTATCAATAAGATTACACATAGAAAATTAACTTCATTGTAAACACACACCTTCTAAATTTCATACTTTCCGTACGTTAACTCAAGTTAAATTGATGTAAATGACCCTTAAGAGATGATTTGTTTAATTAATAATTTAAAATAGACTTCACTAGTCATCAATCACCAAAAAATATATTATATATTTTTTTTTAAACACTTTCAAAAATACCATCATGCTTTATTTTTTTTATCTTACACCAAGAATAAAAATATGTATTTATGATTCTTTTTTTTTTATGTAACGAAGGTACTTAAGTAATGAGATGTATGGTTTTTGTATCCTGGAACATCTACTTATATAATATATTATATAAAACGCCGCCTATAATTTCGTAATTAAACTTTTTCTTTTTCCGATCTAAGAAAACTTCTATAACGCTACTGAAAAGGTAATTATTTTGATTAGCCTACAAGAGTTTTTTTCCTTTTTTCTTGACTAAAGCAAAGCAGAAGGGTTTTTGTTTAATGAGCATTTTTCTAAAAGAAAAAACATAGTTCTAGAAAATTGCTTCAAAGATATTTTTTGAAACTTACACAAAACATTTCAATAGCTAGCCTCGTGTCCAGCCAAAATGTACAAATCGTGCCCTTCTTCGTTTGTCAACGTCCCGGTTCTCAACAAGTTACTTTCTAGCATTACTACCCTAAAAAAAAAGAACAATGAGTCTTACATTTGACATTAAACACTCAAACTTACTTATCAAAACCCAACAATTTATAAGTCCTAGAAGTATCGGTGATTTCTTGCGTAATCTCGCCGTTTTTCAACGACCTACCTTGCACTCCGTGCTTGTGAAATGCCAGGACACTGTCCGGCAAACAAACTGAAATAAAAACAAAAATTGTTTGACTTTTGAAAGATTAGTTGCAATAAAACTTACTTATACTTTCTATTCTAAAATCAAAACGTAGTTCGCTTAGTTGCTTTTTGCTAACTTTGATACGGCCCTGAGGTGTCACCATCCTGATGACGTTATCGTAACAGACTAGAATGACGTCCTTGTCCAGTTGCGTCACGTTGACGATGTTCAAGTTTTCGCGGCGCGGAATCACCGTCGCCGTGCCGTCCATGTCTTGGAGTTCGTCCGAGTGAAACCAGCTGGCCCCTAGAAATTGTATGTACTATGTTGAACTTCAATCTAGCAGATAGCTAATACTCTTAGGCCTGATTTATTCATCTTCAAATGAACTTACTGATAACTAATTACCAATCTACCTGTTTTCGAATAGTTTGTCAGAAGGTGAATAAACCGAGCCGTAAAAGTCCTCAATAGGATTGGTCTTGTCTTTATACATATTAGGGAAAGCAAAAATAAAATCAGATACATCTAGATCCAGAGTTGTATCAAGCAAAAGTTCCAAGAAACTGTAGAAGGTTTGATTGTTGTTTTGATTTGCAAAAAAGCGAAGATGATAATAATTTGGGAATGTTTAGTCCTCCTCCTGAAGCTCCGCATTTGCGGAAGTATTGAAATCTGAATACAGAAATTTGTAGAGAATTTAATTACCTTCAATTTGAGTCTAATTATGTTAAGATTGGATTGAAATTAACAAAGTTGTGAGGCAAAAAGTATATTGATGTCGATTCGGAAAAAAATCAGATGACATTGAGGGATTTTCTGCTTATCGCTCACCTTTATTTTTCGACTTTGAGGCTCCGCATTTGCGAAACTATTGAAATCTGAATACAGAGATCTGTAGAGACTCGCGCTAGTGTAAACACCACGCTTCTGTGAACCTCCTAGTAGTATGAACAGCAAAAATTATTATATTATACAGCGCGCAGTGGTCCATATCTCCTATACTAACGGAGATCGAAGAAAAAACTAAATACAAAACTTGTAGATAAACATGAATAACTACATTCCTAAATTATTTTCCAGTATAGAGTGGCCCAATAAGTAGTGGTAACATAAAGTTATGTTTTTTTAAATGACTCACCCTGTATATTATGACATATCTGGAATCTGCGGAAAGTTCTAGACATATTTCATGTAGATACCTATCTTCAACTGTTTTGGAAATATTGACAGTTGAAAATTGACTCTTTTGCATCTTTGACAAACTGTAAAACCTAAACAGTTAATTTTACAGGAAAACCGATCATACATTCTCATCTTAGTTTTTCATAAACTATCATTTGACACCAACTTTAAATTTAATCCATGATTAAAAATTTTGCTTAAATTATTAAACTTCGGTTAAATTTAAAGTTGGTGTCAAATGATAGCTTATGAAAATCTAGGATAAGAATGTGAAATTGGTTTTGCTGTAAAATTAACTGTTTAAGTTCTACAGTCTGTCAAAGATGCAAAAAAGTCAATTTTAAACTGTCAATAATATCATAATATACAGGGGGAGACATTTAAAAAAAACATAACTTTGTATCACTACTAATTATGTTTTTTTAAATTACTCTCCCTGTATATTATCACATTTCTGTATTCTGCGGAAAATTCTAGACATATTTCATGTATAATGTCATATACCTTTCTTCAACTGTTTCGGACAGTTGAAAATTGACTTTTTTGCATCTTTGACAGACTGTGAAACTTAAACGGTTAATTTTGGAGGAAAACGGATTTTACATTCCTGTCTTAGGGCCGGTATTATAAAACACTGAACCGATGGTTGAGTTTCCTAAAATCAACCGTTCAGGTTTTACAGTCTGTCAAAGATGCAAAAAAGTCAGTTTTTAACTGTCAATATTTCCGAAACAGTTGAAGATAGGTATATGACATTGTACATGAAATATGTCTAGAATTTTCCGCAGAATCCAGAAATGTCATAATATACAGGAAAAATAATTTAAAAAAACATAACTTTGTAACTTATTGGGCCACCCTGTATAATGGAAAATAATTCAGGAATGTAGTACTCATGTTTATCTACAAGTTTTGTATTTAGTTTTTTCTCCGACCTCCGTTAGTATAGGAGATATGGACCACCGCGCGCTTAGTAACTCACCCTGTATAATAACTTTGGTCCAGTAACTGAAATATGCACTGCATCTTGTTAGATGATTAATATTATAGGTTATAGCTCATTTCGCGTATAATTGAATTAGCATGCTCCACAAATGTCAACTGATTGTCAATTATTACTCCCAGATAAAATGTGTTTTTTTTTTAAAGATAAAAGTCAAAATGACATTATGTTGGCAATACAATGTAAAATTGTCAAACTTTCAAATTTTTTATGTAGCAAAGGCTTGTGTTGCCAACATAGTTACTAAATTTTTGACTTGGGGAATTATCTTTGAAAAAAAAAACAGACTTTATATACCTAATTTTAATCTCAGTAGAATATCCATCAATCTGTACATTATATTTTTCTTTACCAAAAGCCCTTCTTATTTTTTCCAGTACAATAACCATAGATTTTGTTTCTGATGCATTTATCTTTAACTTATTCACACACATATAATTGTACAAATTATCCAGAGCATTGTTAGTACCCTCAACCAATTCATTCACATTTTTAGATATAGTATACTTGAGTGTCATTTGCAAACAGATGAACATTAACTGTAGGATGCACCACATTTTCGATATCATTGATATAAAAGACAAACAACAAAGGCCCTAGTATACTATCCTGAGGTACACCATAATTATTATTTCTCTCAGTTGATAACTCCCCACTCAACCTAACCACTTGCTCATGATCCAAAATCAAAATATTTCCTTTTAGCATTTTTAATCACCTTTACATTATTTCGTTTCTGTTTACATATGTATACCACGAGTCAACTTAAAATTATCAACTTTATACCTTTTGTACCACTCATCCTTCTCCTTTACAGCACTCTCAATTCTTTCATTCCACCATAGTTTATATTTAGCCTGTATTTTTACTTGCTTCTTGGGAGCAATTTCGTTCAAAGCATCCAAACAATTACTGAGGAACATATCACACTTATCAACATTACCAAACATCGAATCAACACACAAGAGTTTTCCCTGCACACATTTATAGTCTATATTTCTCCCACGAGTTTCCACAAAAAAGGGCTTTTGGCTTTTCATGCCCCAGACAATCAATACCAACAGACAAAATATAATGGTCACTAATTCTAGAAGTATCTAAAACATTACAATAATTAATAGTCGTCACATTGGTGAAAATTAAGTCAATTAAGGTACCTTCACATTCCCTATTCGAGGGTCTAGTCACTACTGTAACAAATTAGTTGAGTCCTACCTCTTTACTATCTTAACTTATAAACACTTTTGCAAACCAATTTTATTCTGTCTACACCAGAGAAAACCTTACAAACATGCCAACTCTGCCCATAGAGACAACGAACAATAATCAACTCACTGCCATTAACATAACAATAGAAAAAGTCATCACAGCTCTAAGTAGCCTAAAAACCTATTCAACTCCAGGCCCAAATGGGATACCATCTATATTTCTACAAAAATGTGCTACGTCTCTAATAGCACCCTTATTAGCCCAAATATACCAAGATTCAATAGACAATGGTACCATACCAGAGAGCTGGAAAAAAGTTATAGTGATACCAATCTACAAAAGTGATGACAACCAATTATAGACCCAGCAGCCTGACTTTTAATGTCTAAAGTACTTGAAAAAATTCTTGTAAAAGAAACATCCTTTCTCTTAGAAAATGACATCATACCTCCTACACAGCAGGGCTTTATGCCAAAAAGGTTTACCACAACAAATCTTCTCAGCTACCTGGACAACTGGTCTACAAACCTAGACGAAGGCAAGCCAATCGACGTCATATACCTCGACTTTCAGAAAGCGAGTTACTTCATTTTGCATTGCTGAATCAGCTGTGATAACATTTTTCGAAATTGGAACAAATATCAGATTCTTACAAGGTTTCTCAAATAGTACTTGCCGTACCAGCAGTTGCAAGCATTCCTCTTCCCTATAGTTGCCCAAATCACACCACATAACATTGCCTTCACTATATTTATTCAATTTCAAACAATATTCCTCAAGTTTTAAGCTAAATGTATTGATGATTGAATAATTATTTGCGTTGAAACAGATGTGAAGATGATAATATTTGTACGTAAATTAAGTTTCCACTTCAGTAAACTTTGTTTTTAAAAAACATTTATTTTCAAAACTAAGTATTACAAATGAAAACTTTAAACTTAATCTAAATGAGACAAATTACTGCGAGGAAATCTCGAGAGTAAATGAATGAAAAACAGTAGCTGCAAGCGTATTTTATAATAAAATAAATGCTAGCATAAGCAAGTTAGACATATTATTGTTTCGGGAGAACAAAAGGGTCTTTATTGAGTTCCAATATAATTCCTCCCTCCTTAGGTGGTTGCAAATTGGGGTTGATGTACCAAGTTAGGCAACTCAATTTGAACCTCAGTTTTCACATTTTTCCTAAATTTGTTTACAATAAAAAATGGTTATAAAAATTATGAAAATAACGATTAAAATAATAATAACATAAGTGGATATATGGTTATTTACAAAGGTTAACTCTTTTAAGGGTCGAACTTCAAGTTGCGAAGCTTCTTGTAGAGCTTCTTGAAGGGCTTCATGGTCTACTGTCTTTAGTTTGACCGTCGTGATGTTTTCGGGAAAAATAGGAATGTCTATTTTCGGTATCTTGAGTTCCAAATTGAAGTTTTCTTTAATGTCTTCGGAAAATGTGTGATTATTGAGAGTCACTGAACATTTTCTTCTGGAGATTAAAGTAGGACTGGCAATTATCTCGATGTACTTCTTTTGATTGCACTCCATAACTGCTGTCAAACTTCTTTTGGGAATTAACAATAACTGATTGTTAGGTAGTTCTTGAATTGTCGGTTCTTCATAGTCGATTTTCAAGAAAGGACATGTTTGTTGTTCACTATTAATAATACTGTGAACACAGGGCTCGTTTTGGGTTAATGTCTCAAAATTACACAAGTATACACCTTCGACATTAGGGCATTCATTTAAAGCATTAAAGCACGTGTCTGTTGTAAGTAACAAATAGGGATGCTTAATATTAATGGTATAATTCTGGATAGGAATAGGATAGAGTTTATACATCAAAAAAGGTTTTGGATTTATTTTTGGTGTATAGATTGTAAAAATAATCAATTCCTTTTGAATGCTT